CAAGTCTTTCAACTCTTTTTGTTGTTGGCTTAAAATGTTGACACTGAATGCTGCTTTAGATTTCACTTACTGTGCTATTTGTTGTACGCAATCCTCCCATCCTACAGATTTTTTTAAATTTTACCATTGCAGTACAATGAGGAATAGTCGCTTACTGACAATGATATCATCTGGCCATATCTGGGATATAGGAGATAGTCATGAGCATCATGTGTCGTGAGGAATATATTCAAACACGATATGAGGCATGTTTAGTTAACTGTATTGAAAAGTTTTCCAGATAGGTATTGATTTTCCAGTCCTGTAATTAGTTCAGAGATTACAAGGATAGAAAATATTGCTCTAGAAACAGATTTTTTTAGTTGTTCATTGCACCAAAACTGTGGTATCACTGCAAAACATATCAGCATGTTGACTTTGACTTTGAACTTTGGCAAAATATTGCCACTGTAAAAATGGAGAAGAGAATCACGTGGCTAATTATTTTGCTGTCTCAGATAAGGCCTGGATCCTGCCAGTTCTGTGTGATTTCAAAAATCCATCCCCATGGTTCCTCTTACAGGATCAAGGTCCAAAGGAGAGATTGGACTCTGTGTAATCAGGATTCTGGAGGCAGATTGCATCCTGCTGGGAACTGCCTGCGCGGGCCAGGAGCAGAGCCAGCATGGCTGCGAGCAGCCTTGCAGGTCCCTCCATCCAGAGGATGCCCCGCTGCGCTGGGCCACATGTTCGCTCGCGTCATAGCTTTCACGTAATCTGTGTGGTATGCTTATTACCATGCAGCTCTTTCTTGCCCAGGTGAAGCCCCGGGTCACAGCCCCATGGAGCATGTCCCGTGTACTTCACCTACACGTGCACTGGGCTCCTGAGCCCGTTTCCTGAACGCTGTGTTGTCAACTCGATATGCTGTCCGTGGCAGACGACGGGTGCCGTGGGCTGGCTACCAAGAGGCTCGGGTTCTGACGCATGGCCACGCAATGACATTTCAAAGCGAGACTGCATTTGGCCCAGCTGCTGCTCTCTTCCGGTCTCCGTATTGATGCTTTGTAAATGCAGACTTTACACACTTTATATTGCTGCTGGAGTTGCTTAATGCTGCAGTAAGTACTGTGCAGGCACATGCCTTGCACCAGACCCTGCCCTATCTTCTCATAACCCCAACCATGGCAGCAGAACTCACATTTCACAGGTACTCAATGACTGTAGAAGCAGGTCCCATCGATCGCAGCTCAGGCCACGCTTGAATGCATTTCCGCTCCCCCCCCCCGCCCACCCTTTTTTTCCCCCCCCCCGCCCCCACCCCCCCCGCTGCAGCAGCAGGAGTGCAAGGCTCGAACCCATGTACCAGGAACATTTACAGGATACAAACAGGAGCAGCTTTAACTTGGCGACTGCCTTGTATTTCTTGTCTGAAGTGATTCCTGCACATCTCCTGTTTCCTTGTTATAATTAAAGAGAAGCTTAATCTGTTCAACATCTCTTTGCTGAAGTAGGCCTGATTTTTGCATTTGACACGTTGAAACCTGTTAGACAGCAACAAGCAGCAGCATCGCCTGTGATTGCCAGAGGCCAGATAGCTGTCTGTCTTTGAAGTATCCTCTTTTGTCAAGTCCTGTGTCATTGCAACAGTGCATCAGACAATCAGTCTCTTTGTAGCATCTCTTCCTTTTAATGCTTCTTTTTTTCCTCTCTCTTCCAGGATGGTAAGAGGGAGAAAATAAGAAAGGAAAAGGGTGAAGAGGCTGGGAGCACAGAAAACCAGATCAGAGTTACAGCAACAATCCTGTATATTTGAGCTTTTTTTCCCATCTTTTTACCCAACTTTTTATGTATGAGGAATACAGGTGAGCAGTAGGCAGTTTGCTGAGGGCAGTAACTTCTCTGACTGGTATATATGGCCAAAAGTGGACATGTGAATAAGCCATCAATTAGAGAAATCCCAAGGTTGCTTTAACTTTCTCCCATGGACCCCGCATATCCCGTAGTCTGCAGAAGGACAGAGATCTGTGAGTCAACGTCGCCCCATCTCCAGCTGCAGGAAGGTGATGCTCTCATGTCTGTAGAGGCTGTGGTGTTTACTGCAGTTACCCTGAGGCTGTCCCCAGCAGTTGTAAATTGCATTTGCACATGTCAATGTACTCTGGACGTGCTAGGTCAGGAATTTCTTTTTTTGTTGGTTCCAGGCAACATTTTTTCATCTGTAATTACCAGACGAAGAAAGATGACTCCTCCCTTCTTGAGGAGGCGATTTTAGATCTTCCTCTGCAAAGTGCATGAATGGGGCTGTGCTTAATGTTGAGTGACTCAGCCCCAAACGAGGTGCCCTCGCTGTCACACTGTGGGTAGCTGTTAGTTATGGAAATTATGAGTAACTATGTCCAGAAAAAAAAGGAATTTCCTCTTCCAAAGAGGCCATTATTTCTCTCTAAAAGGATAATGGCAGATGTTTTCCATGGAAGCATGGACAGGAAGCCCAACAGGAACAGTGAGGGCACTGCAGTTAGGAGGTAATTATTATTATTTTCATTTCAGGGCCCCACTGTGCCAGATGCAAAACGAATCAATTGAGCCGCTTCTCTGAAAAGCTTGCAAATTAAGGAGGGAAGGCAGATAGGACTGCCCTCCTCCCCCAAAAGATAATTTCCGCGTTATAGGGATGACATGTTTTGCCACAGTCATACAGGCAGTCAGCCAATTTGGCTATTATAAGATTTCTTCCAGAAAAGGGGAAGGAAAATGAGATGTTCATTCTCAAAAACCCCAAACCTTGCAACACCAGAAAAAGGCAAACTGAGCAATCTTTGATTTGGTTGAAAAAGTGCTTCCGCAACCATATAATTTCCAAGCATGCCGAGACCTGGCAAAGGTTCAGGAAACATATCTCCGGAGACAGGAAGTGCTGCAGTGAAAGTAAATTTAGCAGGACGTTCATTATCCTTGTCATGCCCCTTCCCTCCTGCCATGGGTAATGTCCGAGGCAGGAGACAGCAGATGGCAGTGGCAGATAGTCGTCCAAACTCTCCCCCAGCATCATGTGCAATCTTTGCAGAAGGATAGTATAGCTGAGAGTATCATTTTGTGATAATCCTGTAGGGGAAAGGTGTAGAGGAGAGGGAAGAGAGACTGCTGCTTTATTCTTTATCCCCCAAAGGCACTTTTGGGGCCACCTGGCTTCTTGGGAATGAGAATTTGAGGTGTGGATGAAAGGAATCAACTCAGTGTACTGATCCTGCTTCTCTCTGCTCTAGGACAGGTGGATATGCATAAAGTATTTAACCTCAAGAATACATCTAATCTCTGTGTCACTGATGTCATCCTTGCATGACCTCGGTACTTTGAGGAGGGCTACCACTGGGGTAAGAAAGGGGACACTGGTCTTGAGGGAAAGGACCATACGGGTTCAAATTTAGTCAGACCACAAGGTGCAGAGAATACCCACAAAATCGCACTGCGGAGCTCACAGCAGAACCCAGGACTTCTTAATCCAGCCCCCACACCTTGGAGGAGGGGGACAGAAACCTTGTTGAACTAGGTAGGAACGTTGTGCTAAGCTGCCACACTAGCAGGGCTATGGAGAGCTGGGTGAGGGGAGCAAAGCAATGAAGGGCGGTGTGGGACGGTATCTTCCTCCAGCACTCCAGAGGAAGAAATGTGAGTGTGCCCTCCCGTCAGCTCGCATGCCCCTTCAGACCCCTGGTGCCAGGCAGGACAGGCACACAGTCTGCAAGAGGCTCTTGCCAGTTTATGCCTTCCTAAGCTACCTTGCTTCAAGCCGAAACCCCCATGAAAAATGATGGGACACCCTCTCAATTTGGATGCGCTTCTCAATTTTCATCTCTCTTTGATTTCCTATTGGGATAAAGATGGATACAGTTGAATTGTACTGGTCTCACTCTCCCATCTAGTGGTAAAAGAAGGAAAGGTGGTCCAGATAAGAGACGGAAAGAAATAATTTTAAGTTTTCTATGGCTTTTGAGTGGGGTACATAGTACTATTAACCCGGTGGAGCTCTGGGGTTCAGTAAAATTCATCTTCCCCAGTGTGCTGGGGGAGCACACAAAACCAGGCCAGAAGAGGACCCACAAAAGTGCAAAGACTGTTCTGAACTTTTCCCAGGCCCCCCAAGGTAGGAGCCAGCCCTGCCCCAGGAATATCCACAAAGGAGAGAAAACTGCACTAATAAATATGCCCTAGGTAAAATGCTGCTATTCTGGATTTGAAAACTTGCATTTCTTGAGGAGCTCTTGAAGAATGGGAACCAGGATGTTGCTGAACAGCATGAGAGCTGAATCTTCCCGGAAGTAACCTCTTATCTCCAAATAATGCTCTGCTCTCGAGCCCTGTTTATTCAGCGATCTGACACGGCTGTGCACACACACAATTGTCCCACACAGCTACCTTCCCATCCACATCGCTGCTTTCTGCTCGAGTCGTGAGCTCCTCGGCGGCTCAGCAGAGCACCCCGCCAACCATTACCCAGGCCCCTGGCCACCGCAGGAACCACCAGCCATTGCCGATTCTCACCCTCACTGCTACGTGTCACGGCGTTTCCTGGAAAGGTCTCTGCAGGCTCCCCCAAAATAGCAATGGGTGGTATAAGCAGCAAAGGCTGAGTATAAGGAAAAGATTAGGTAACCACAGGCGTTTGCTCAGGAAATGAACTCACAGAAATAAGAGGCATCAGCCCTTGTGCTGCATGTGCTGTGCCTGTATCTGCCCCATAGCATTCACTTGCACCTGTCCTCTTGTCATCATCACCAAGGCTGGGACACCAAAAGTTTCAGCAACATAACAGCCTTTGAGACCCTTCTGCTCATAGCAGAGGACAAGGGAGGATGAAGCAGGGCCAACCAGGTCAGCAGTGGGTTACTTAGACCTGTAAGGCTGCGTTTAATTTTGTCCTGACCCACAGAGCTGGAAGGGAAGAGTTCCACCTGTCCCACAAAACTTAAGATTATTAAATTGATTCAGATCTCAAAAATCTAATTCAAGATACTGTGTTTTCTGCTTTGGTATTCAGAAATTAATTCCAGCCTAGGCCTGAAAGCTTGACTAGAACTGATAGATACACTCATATGAAAAATTGATGTACTCATCTAAGATTGAAGAATCGCGACACTTCCAGTAAGATTAGCTGATGTCTCATTTTCAGCAAGTAAGGTTAAAGAACAAGAAAAAAAAGATGATTGTAGATCATCTTTTTACAAAGCCCAGAGATGCAAGTGCTTGGCTGTTCATTGCTGTTCTTACAAAAATTCTTTCCTGGAGCAGCACACTGCTTAATATCACTTTATCTAGGATGTCACCTGAATAGTTTGCAGCATGAATAGACTTAGCGAGAAAAAGAGTACTCAGAAGAGTAAGTTACTCACTCACACCCTGTCAGATTGAAAAAGAAAAGAAAAAGGTACTGTGTGTATTTGGATGGTCAGAAATTGGTCAGGTAAAATGGAGATCTTCCCCAGAAGAATTAAAAGGATCTGCTATGATCAGCAGCTTGTCCAAGTGGTTTCTCAAAAGGCAACAATATATTGCTGAGTTGAGGCTTGATTCCAGAGGTGGCAGGATCCAGCGGCTGGGCCAGGCGGCCGCGGGAAAGGCCAGTTCCTGCTGCCTCACTGCGGGGGATGCTCCTGATCTGCAAGGCAGAGGAGGATGACTTCCCACCTCTTTCAAGAGCTTTGAGCCCCAAAGGAGCATTGCAGATCTGCTAAATCTTTGCAGCCAGTCTAGCTCACTTAAACTAGATATTTTAAAACTAGAGAGAAGAGCATGGGGCTGGCAGACTGAGACCCTTCCTCACATGCATGCAGGACTCACGGCAAGCCCTGCATGTTTTACGTGGCAGGCTGCAGCACACGCAAGGCTGCACTTGCAGGGATGGGACGTCTTTGGTGTGTGTGCACTCACCACGGCCTGGACCCAGGGCTGGCCGCTGGCCGAGGATGCTGTATGCCAACGCTGAGAGCCAACACAGCCTGCTCGCTGCAGATGCAAGGCTGCCGATTTGCATTTCAGCTATTGCGCTGCTCAGATACTCCTCGCGTCGGGAGAGGGCAGCCTTCACCACAGACGGATGCAGCTAGAAAAGGTGAAAGGCATCCCACTAATAACCAGCCCCTATACCAGCACGGGCGGACACGTAGCTTTTAAAGAAAAGCTTAAGTGGAAAAGTTTAAACAACACCCAATTTGTGCAAATGAAAAGGGCACCTTTCTCTCATGAAGACATTGCCATTGCAAGGGATTAACCTGTGTCCTG